AAGGGTAGTCACGGGTCAGCATTAGCGTCGTAGCACCCAGCCGGGTTTATGGGTTAACTTGCTTCAGGTTAGCACACTCCAGGCTTGCTGACCTGAGGCCTTTGATATGTTACAGAACTAATTTACTTTCTTTGAGATTTGCAGACCACTGGCCTTGGGGAGTGTAGGACCAGAACTTTCCCAGGCCACAGAGGCCAACAAGTCTGTCTGAGGCTGCCTCAGCTTTCTGATGAGTTAAAACATCTTTTAGCAAAATGTTTTTCTCTTTTTAAGGTCACATAAATGACTTTACTGACCATCCTCTGTGCATCTGCAGCCCCTGCCTTCCTCTGCAGAAAGAACAGAGTATTCTTGCACAACCACCAAAGTACCAAGGAGCCAGACCTTCTTGCACCATCCCTTCCCCGCCCCCACTTCCCTACCCCGCGGGGCACCAAGGAACTTCTAGAACTTCCTGCACAACCCCCGAGCACTGAGAGAACTCTGTAACTGGCCTCGTGGAGTCTGCACATAATCAAAAAATGCCACAGACCACTGCACTCCCTTAACTGATTAAATCTCTTTAAAAATCTCTAGGCCAGGCAGAAACCTCAGAGTTGGCTTTTGGACAAGGCTCTGCCTTCTCCCCAGGGGGCCGGCCACCTGAATAAAGTTCATATTCCTTCCCAGTCAATACTCATCTCTTGAGTACTGGCCTTTCAGGCAGTGGGCAGTCGAGCTTGGGTTCGGTAACATTACTTATGTTCTCTAATCCTAAAACTCTTTGGGACCATCTTTGCCTCAGTCAGGTAGGATTCTTAATAGCTTTGCTCATTCCTAGCCCTGTATGCTTCCTCTCTTCAAGTGCTGGCCAAGCTCCATGACAATGCTGTATGCTTCGATGGGGCCGTTCATTGCAACTCTAACCACCAACAAATATCTAGAAGGCACAAACCTTATACGAAGACTGTATTCAGGCTGCTTGTACTGGCCTGGAACCAACCAGGAAAGTCACAAATTGTCTGTACTTCCATCCCCCTAGCTGTAAAAGGCCCCACTGAAAGGCAGACCTTGTCACATTCAATTTGGACCATGTCTAGTCAGCACATGCAAAAGGTTCATGGGGAGAAGGAACAGTTTCTTTGGTGATATTTTCCCTGGTCTGGGGGAACTTAACAACTTAGTTGGAAAGACAGAAACACATCAGATGTTAAAGTGATTTGTGCATGGAGCCCATGGTGGCTCCGTTGGTTGGGCGTCTGCCTTTGGCTCATGTTGTGATCTTAGGGTCCTGGGACTGAGCCCTGCATAGTATTCCCTGCTCAGCGGGGAGCCTGCTTCTCCCTCCCTCTCTGCTGCCACTCCTCCTGCTTGTGCTGTCTCTGTCAAAGAAACGGAAAAAAAAGAAAAAGAGACACAATAAAAAATAAATGAAGGGGCGCCTGGGTGGCTCAGTGGGTTAAAGCCTCTGCCTTTAGCTCAGGTCATGATCCCAGGGTCCTAAGATCAAGCCCCGCATCGGGCTCTCTGCTCGGCGGGGGAGCCTGCTTCCCCCTCTCTCTCTGCCTGCCTCTCTGCCTACTTGTGATCTCTGTCAAATAAATAAATAAAATCTTAAAAAAAAAATAAAATAAATTTAAAAAAGAAAAAAGAAAAGAGAAGAAAATAAAATAAAAACAAAAAATTAAATTTAAAAAATAAAATAAAAATAAAACCAAAAATAAAAAATAAAATAAAATAAAATAAAATAAATAAAGTGATGTGTACAGAGGACTAATGGGAGAAATAAGAAACCTTAATCCTGGTCTACTGCAAATTCACTGTCACCCTGGCAATGACGATGTCTTAAGGCTTCATGCCTTATTTGTAACATGAGGGGGTTGGAGTGGATGACAATGAAGAGGGTAGAAATGTACGGAGCACTTATATACCAAGCCCTACAGTAAGCACTGAAAAAGGATTAATACAGTGAAATCTCCTGCTATGAGGTAGAGACCACTATTCCTATTTTACAGATAATACATGAGATCCTTTCAACTCCAACAGAATTATGTGATTTCAAGTTAAGTAATATGGTAAACTACATTCTCCAAAGGTGGCCACAATATTTCCCATCCAACGTGATCTTCTTAAAGTGTGACTCTGATACTCCTAACTTGGAGAGGTGGGTCTATGTCTTCTCTCACTGAACTGGGGCAGGCTTGTGACTGGAGACAGCAATGTTATGTGACTTCTGAGGCTAGATCACAAAAGCCAATCTCTCTGATACTGGTTTCCTATTGCAGCACAATAGATTACCCACAAACTTAATGGCTTATACCCACTTATTAGCTCAGTCCATAGGTCAGAATTATAGGCAGAGCATGGCTGGGTTCTCTGTTCATAGTCTCACAAGGATGAATTAAAGGTGTTGTCTGAACTGAGTTCTCAGAGGGTCTAGGGGGAAATCTGCTTACAAGCTCCCAACGTTGTTGGCAGAATTCAGTTCTTTGCGGTTGTAGGACTTGAGGTCTGCCTGTCCTTGCTGGCTGTCAGTGGAGGCTGCACTCTCAGCTCCTTCTAGAATGGACCCAGATTGAAATGGCTCAAGCGATTAGATCAGGCCCACGTGCAGACTCTCCCTATCTTAAGGTCAACTGATTTGGGACTTACTTACACCTGCAAAATCCCTTGTGTCATATAATCGTGGGAGTGAAATCTAATCATATTCATAGGTTCCACCCAAATCAAGGGGAGGTATGCCAGGGCAAGGGTCACTGGGGGTAAAATTCTGCCTACCACATAGCTTCTATTTTATTCTCCTGTTATACTTATTTTTGGAGCTCAGCCTTCATACTGTGAGGAAGTATAAGCAGCTTGTGGAAAGGAGCAGAGGCCTCCCAGCCAACAGTCCCAGCTGAGCACCTGGCCAACAAGCAGTGTTAACTGGTTAGCCATATTAGTAAGCCATTTTGAAAGTGGATCTTCCAGCCCTAAACTGAGCTGCTCCAAGTGGTAAAATGACAGTTACTGAGTCCCACCCAATGTGCAAATGTGTGAGTAAAAGGACTGTTGTCAGCCACTAAGTTCTAGGGTGATCTATTACACAGCAATAGGTAATCAAAGTGAAGTAGCAACCCAAGTGAGAAGATCTACAAGTACTGAAAGTTTTTTTGCAGATAGGAGTGATAACCTACCTTTCTTTTAGGACACTGGGGGATCGAGCATCTGACAGTATAGGTCTAAAATGTCTTTCAATTCACGGTTGCTGATTTATTGATTCAATCTTACACTGAACTAATTTACACTAGTATACCAGTCATCTCTATTTGGAAGCCCAGCATTTTAAAAAGGTTATCTAAAAATTATGCTGTTTTCCTTTTGAGCAATGGTTATACCATATATTCTAAGCTACAGCTGAGAAATATTTGGGATGTAAATAAAGATAATGAATGTACTAATTTTTAAAGATACCATGGTCTTGTTCATAAATCACGAAAGTATTAGTTACCTCAATGTATACTTAATTACTTTTCAAGTTATTTTCAATTAGAAAAAATAGAAAACACATGGAAAATAATCATCAGTTTTGTCATTAAGAATTTTAATCAATGGGGGCGCCTGGGTGGCTCAGGTCATGATCTCAGGATCCTGGGATAGAGCCCCACATCGGGCTCTCTGCTCAGCGGGGAGCCTGCTTTCCCCTCTCTCTCTGCCTGCCTCTCTGCCTACTTGTGATCTCTGTCAAATAAATAAATAAAATCTTAAAAAAAAAAGAATTTTAATCAATGGATATTAACTATTAGGTGAAAGACTGTTGGAGTAGAACTTCCATAAACTGGGCGCCTGGGTGGCTCAGTGGGTTAGGCCACTGCCTTCGGCTCAGGTCATGATCTCAGGGTCCTGGGATCGAGTCCCGCGTCGGGCTCTCTGCTCAGCAGGGAGCCTGCTTCCCTCTCTCTCTCTCTCTCTGCCTGCCTCTCCATCTACTTGTGATCTCTGTCAAAAAAATAAAAAAAATCTAAAAAAAAAAAAAAAAAAAAAGAACTTCCATAAACTCTCTAAGAGAGTTTGGATTATTTGGTGATTACAGAGGGGAGAAACCTGGCAGACAAAGCCTTAACAAAATCAAACAACAACAACAAAAAAATCAAACTTAATATCAACAATGATAGAACAAAGTAACATCATGTGCCTTCCACTGTGATGCACTAAGGACACACCATCACATGTGTAGTATTCTTGTCCCCAAATGTTTGAGAAAACATATAAATGCAAATTAAGGATATTCTGAAAAATCACTGACTTGTACTTTTCGCAAAAATATCAATGTCATAAAAAGAAAAAATGCTGGGAACTCCTCTACACTAAGGAAGATTAATCTAAAAGAGGTAACTAAATGTGAATCTTGACTGGATCACCCTCTCCCAACAAAAAAGAAAAGAAACAGCCACAAAACTCTAAAATTTAAGTATGCACTTCATATTAAATAGTACTGTACATAAAAGTATCTGAGTGGATTATTGTACTGTAATTAAGTAGGGAAATGTCCTTGTTAAGAGCCAGACGCGGAAATGTTTAGGGGTGAAACGTTACTATAGCTGCAACACTCAGGAAAATTGTGTAAGGATTAAATCTGTGTACCTGGTTTAACGATATTGTATCACATCTAGTCCACACTGCCCACAGACCGGACAGAACAATCAAAGCTTCCCTTTGTACACCGAGGAGAAGCACACAGCTGGACACTCACCTCTCTGGGTGGCGCACGGAGCCCTGGGAGTTTTACGGTGATCTCAGCACAAGGGCGAGCGGAGGACGAGGCTGCCAGAGAAACAGAAATACACGCACACACGACAGGGTTCATGCGCTGCACCCTTTATGGCCGTCCTGCTCAGGCGTGACGGTGAAGCGACGCCTCTCGCCCCTAAAGGCGTATCTGACAGCAGCATGTGCCTGTCCAACGCACTTTACGGCAGTCACGGGAAGGTGCGGGGGCGTGGCTATACTTCCCGCGCCACGGGCACGCATGACAGCTGCACATGCTGTGTGGAGCACTTTATGGCAAACACACAAAGGCGCGAGGTCACGGGCCCACGCTGTGCGGAGTAGGCTCTGCGTCCTACGTCATCGTGGGTTGGCTGTTATTTCGTTGGTGCTCTCATGCCTTGGAGATCATGGCGATGGTGGCGGCACTGTGGCGGAGTGCGAGGGGATATACGCAGACCAAGGAGTTCCGGAACTACCTGGCCAGCACTCACTTCTGGGGTCCCGTGGCCAACTATGGCCTTCCGCTGGCTGCCTTTAAGGACATGAACGCGTCACCTGAAATCATGAGTGGCCGTATGACAGTAGCGCTCATCTTCTACTCGATGGCCTTCATGCGTTTCGCCTACCATGTACAGCCTCGAAACCTGCTGTTGTTCGTGTGCCACAGCACCAATGTCGTGGCGCAGAGTGTGCTGCTGAGCCGCTACCTGAATTACTACTACGGCGGAGGCGTGTTGGCGGCTGTTGGTACCACCGCTGCCACCACCCTCGATCCCACCAGCGGTCCTGTACCTGTTAGCGACCTTGACAATGACGACTCCTGCTAGGCAGCCGCCCGCCCCAACCCATGGTCCCAGAAGCGTGACTGAGAAGGCCCGATTGAAACTTTGCAGCTTGCAAACCGAACTGTTCTCCCTAAAGAGACCAGTGAAGTTTGGTTAATAAAGAAGAGAAAATAGCGCAGAACTGAAGGTGTTGAGTGCTGTTTATTTCGTGATCTGGAAATACAATGTTCTTAGGTGGGGGTAGATTGGCTGGTCTTCCTCTTCACCGGATCTGCACCTTGAGGGTTAGTTTTTACAGGGGAGGAAGAATGAATGAGAGCGTTCCTGAGATGGTGTTTTGTTTTTTGTTTCGGGTGTCCAGGTCAAATAATGCTTGGTAGCATACATGATTTTTAAAACTTGGTACAGGCGCCTGCGTGGCTTAAGTTGTTAAGCGTCTGCCATCAGCTCAGGTCATGATCACAGGGTCCAGGGATTGAGCCCCACATTGGGCTCCCTGCTCGTTGAGAAGCCTGTTTCTCCCTCTCCCACCTCCCCGGCTTGTGTTCCCTCTCTCGTTTTGTCTCTCTGTCAAATAAATAAATAAAATCTTAAAAAAAAAAAAAAAAAAAACTTGGTACAGGCATTAATCTCTTTACAGCAAAAATAAGTCAGGGGCTATTGCTACTGAGGGAAATAGTTCGAAGTGGGTTTAAATGAATTCAGTGAAATCCAATTTAGGCTTTTAAAAAGTACTTATTAAGAGAACCTAGAATCTCTTGGTGATTGGATAGCAATTAGAGAATCTACGGTGGAAACAGGATAAACAAACCTGAGTTTAGTTGCTGTCAACCCTGGATTCTAGGTAAATAGAAAATAAAAACGACAAAATCACAATCGTTTCCTCTTCTTGCCTAAAAATGGGGGAAATGGCAGTCGGTAAAACTGATAAGACTATTGCCTTGTGGCTAGCTAGGGTTGGGGATGAGGGTAAACAGCATTGGCTCACAGTGTCCCCTTAGGAATCTTACGGACTTGTCTTAAACCAGGTTACATGAGGTGGGGAAAGAAAAGGGTGGGGCTGTGAGTGTAAGGCCACTGTCTCTGCAGCAGAGGCTGTCTTTTAGGATTTGATGCCAAATCTGCCTCTGGAGGATGCAGGAAGTTCCAGAGGGTTCTACTGGGTAAAGAGTGCTTAAACCCTACTTTTGTTAAAGATTTCGAACGCAGGGGCACCTGGGTGGCTCAGTCGGTTAAGTGGCTGCCTTCGGCCCACTCAAGTCATGATCCCAGGGTCCTGGGATTGATCTACATCTGGCTCCCTGCTCAGTGGAGAGCCTGCTTCTCCCTCTCCCTCTGCTGGCAGCCCTGCCTACTTGTGCGCTCTGTCAAATAAATAAATAGTCTTAAAAAAAAAAAAAAGATTTCAAATGCAAAGAAGGGCCCCTGGGTGGCGCAGTAGGATAAGCATCTGACTCTTAGTTTGGGCTCAGGCTGTGATCTCAGGGTCTTGAGATCAAATCCCTCATCTCACACACAGTCTTCTATAGCGTCATCTGGGAAGTGACATACCATCACTCAGCTGTTTTCTATTGGCCACGTGAACGAACCCCAGTACGTTGTGGGAGGAAAATACAAGGGTGGGAATACTGGGAGGCAGGGATCTTTGGGGGGGGCCATCTTGGAGGCTGGCTACCACATATGGTTCTGAAATTAAATTTCTCATGCCTTTCTGAAACTCAGTAGAAAGTAATAAAGCATGTCAGATCATCACTCACCTTCCCCCAAAAGATGTCACAAAATGCTCAGTTTACAGTTTTGTGGTCATTACTAACATGCATGTATCATGGAGCATGGGTTTGAGAAAAGGGAAAGAAGTCTCTGGAAGATAGTATTTTCATATTTATATAGTTCAGACTATATAATGTAGTAATAAAAACCAGTTCTTAAAGTTTTGAAATGAGTCATAACCTTTTATCAAAATTTTTATTAAAACTTGAAAGGAATTTTTCCCTTCACTACTACGTGAGTAGAAATTCATATATTTTTAGATCTGTCTTACAACATGTATTTTGTAATTTGAGTATATTTCAATCAAAGGCAGGTAGGTTTCTAATTAACCTGGTAAGGGAAAAGTAGGTAATAATCCCTACTGATAATTTCCTATTATTCTACATTTATAATTTAGAGGGCAAAATGATTAGAGAAAAAAAATCCAAAAGATTCCAATGCCTCCAACTCTAAGGCAATGTTCCACTTACAGGATCTAATTTGTAGTTTGCCCACCCAAGAGGTCTAACCCTTTGTTGCCTAGGATATTCATGTTTAAAGCCATATAAGTGATTAATACTTTAATAAAAATGAGGCTTTCAAATCATTAGGGTAACAATCACTTATAATCTCCCCAAACTATCAAATACAGCCCTTTCTGGACTTCACAATTTAACCTGTCTACCGATCTCTTCTGCTACTTTATGAAGCCAATAACATTTTGAATGGCAGAGCTATTTTTCCAGAAGTTTTTGTTACTGACACACTTTTGTTATTACCTAGAATTCGGGTTTTATACTGAGCTTAATAAGTAATGTCCTTCTCCTTAGGTCCTCTGAGTTCCCTGGAAAAGCACAGGCTAAAATCCGAAGAATTGCCTTACCTTTGCAACCATAATGTCAAAACTCTTTTTCTCCTCTAATTCTTTCCACCTACTGTGTCACAGGGAGAGGAGGAGAGAGTAAGTCATACTGCTGGATGGAAACCAGGCCCTTGGAGACGAAACAGCCCTGTGTGAAAGGGAGACCACCTCCTGGGCCTCTCCGGATGCTACCGCCTCCCCAGTGCCCCTAGAGGTGGAGCTGACCCCCGCAAAAATGGGAGGCTACAACCTATTCCAGGGAATTTGACACGTAAGTCTTATAGTTTGAATTTATATATTGTTTACGTCTCTTGATTATCTTGAAATGAACAGACTGTAATTAAGAACTTTCAAAATACCAGGAGCGCATGTTTGTTGGACAAATTTTATATGGGACAATGCCACAAACAGAATAGCCACATTTCTTCTAACCAACCCCTCGACCTCAATTCCTCTCCCAGCGGTAACACAGCAAAGGAGCCTGGGACAGGCATACAGCTTTCCGGACCTTTTATTGAAAAAGACAGAGTTTTACAGCATACCACGCAATGTTGAACGTTCTGCTTCTGTTCCGTGTGTGTTAGAGATCGTTCTGTCTCCCTGCACTGCAGCATGACGACATTCTTCTTTACAACCACAGAGTGCTCTGTGGCTTGGATGCGCTGGGATTTCACCAGTCATCTCTTGATGCCAGGCTCCCGGTGCCACTGTGAGCACTCCCGTGTGGGCATCATGGGCCACGTGCCCAGATTCATAGAGAGGCCCACAGGCTGACATCCCTGTGCACGCTCCATTTGCTTTAAAGCCCTCTCTGGACATATCTTCCCTTTCTTCGATTTCAGTGTAGTTAAATGTTGCCAGTATAACGTTTTCTGCACAGTATCTTTCATTTATCAGAGCAGACAATAAATCCAAGACGATGGCACATATAACATCGTCCATACCTTATACATCCTCACATCTGGCATCCTTTTCAGTGCCCAGCTGTGGTGGACACTTGATAAATGTTTGACAGAGAAGGAAAAGCTAACTGGACACAAGGGATATGAGACGAAAGTGTTCATAACCCTAAGTTACTAAAGTTAGAAAGCAGGTCTTAACTTGGTTAGTGAATCAAGATTTAATTGGATCCTACCTTCCAGATGTACCTTACATCTAGAAGCTGGGAAACGTTTCAGCAAATTTCTTAGTCTGGGCATGGTTGCGAGAACAATGAAGATTCTTACTTTACTATGGAAGTTTTCTAAAGAAATTGTGTGAAATGGACGGACAAAGAAAATGTACAATTCAAGACCCGTCAGTTAGGAACATCTGCCTTCATGCAGGGTTTATAGCATTATATACATGCATTTTAATGTAAAAATATGCCAAATATACCCCCACCCTCTGCCCATTGTCTACAGAGCACATCCTTGATGGGCAGCCGAGCAAGCGAACGATGGCTTCCTTTGGGCTTGGAGTGGAAACACTTCCTCCAAGGAATGCGGCAGGTGGCAATTCTGTCCCTGAAGGTCCAGAAGTGACCTGGCCCCGTTAAGTGCTGCTGGCTTTGAAAAGGAGCAGATGGAGGGGAGGGAGGCTGATCCCATGGACCACTGCATATGACTGGACAGTGGTTTTGCAGTTGAGGAAACAAATAGGACAAAGTCAGAAGTGGAGAACTCTTGGGGTAAAGCAATAGACGAAGTTACAGATGGATCTGTCAATCTGTGGAAAGAAAACGATGCCTCTGAATTTCCGTTAAGAATGGTGATATTTGGGGCGCCTGGGTGGCTCAGTGGGTTAAAGCCTCTGCCTTCAGCTCAGGTCATGATCCCAGGGTCCTGGGATCGAGCCCCGCATCGGGCTCTCTGCTCACAGCGGGGAGCCCCCTTCCCCCTCTCTCTCTGCCTGCCTCTCTGCCTACTTGTGATCTCTGTCTGTCAAATAAATAAAATCTTTAAAAAAAAAAAAAAGAATGGTGATATTTCATCCTTAAATCTCATAACAAAGGACAAGGCTTAGTTAACAGTATGACACACATTCATGTGTAAGAATAAATTGTTGGTGGATCCTTCAGTCAACAAATATTTGTGAAGCACACGAGGGCTAGGCCCGTGCTCAGCACTCAGAATATATAGAACTGACCAGAAAGGGCCATGATGGCCACGGGAGGTGACTTTTCCCAGGAGTGCCATACACAAGCCAGCAACTGCAGAGCTTTCCCCGACGTCCCCATCTGTGATGCTGGCTTGGGCCCTCTGCCTGCTTTGGTCAGTTAAGTCACCGTGTTCTCCAGTCCCCCGTGACCAGCGTGGGCCCACCTCCTCGCCCTACCGGCCTGGCCTATCAGAAATGGGGACAAATAATTCTGTACTAACCAGAAAAGGCTAGGAAATGGCCTTTCCGGAGATTGTTTTCTTGCCTTCTTCCAAAAAGGAAGGATTTATAC